ACAAATAAAGAACCTGACCTGAGGATGATGCTGTAAAATCATGATCAAAGTGACTACAGTTCACGAATGAGAATCCAGTGCACATCCAATAAATGCTGAGATCTGTCTCTCAAAACCAGCACACAAACATGTAGATAGCAGAAGTAAATAAGGTCAAAATGTTGAATATGTGGCCACAAAATATGAATCGGAATTTGTCCATAGCCTTAAATAATACAGGTAGCTTTGGACAAAATCTGTAAAATCCACAAGCCATTCAAACTGCCAGACCTCTAGTTTCTTCCACCGCACTTGGTTATGTGATCTATCTGTGATCACATGTACAGTATGTGGATCCATCACTGTCCTGTGACCTGCTTGACACTGTTGGGCCCTTTCTTTTAATAGTGATGATCTTGTTATTTACCTTCATCTGACTGCTGCAGCCCATGAAAGACAAACTCAGCCAGAGCTCCAACTAAAACTAAAGACACCCTCTGATTTTCCAGCAAGCCAGGTCATGAGTTCTCACCAACCTCACACCCTAAGGTAAATACTGGGGCCGTTTGCAGATGGGCGTTCGTGGACTGATGGTGAAGCATCAGCTCCGGAATGCTGTGGTCTCTCCGTCTCTCTGTCACTGGTCTCCCTCCTTCTGAGGGTCCTACAGAGACACCACCTCTCCTCTGGCTCACTCCTTCCTTGGACTGATCTGACTTCTCCCAAGTCCTCCCTCTCTATTCAAGAGTGAGAGTTGTCGTGGGTGGTGACTGTTCACTCTCTTCTCAGATGAAGTGAAAGTCCAGCTGGTGCATCAGGCACATGGTTGGCCCTTCCAGGCAAGCTGCACTAGCCCTGAACACAACTAGGAAGTTTTCTCTTTATGCTGTGATGCTTTCCATTCAGCTCTTAACCTTTGCCTTCTATCTGCCTACTTTATTCTGCCTGCCCTTATTTTATGTTTCCCTTTTTGCTAAAACCGTCTCCTTTTCCCTTGTTTCCCTCCACATTGCCTGTGGAGTGAATGGAGACTGGTTTCCAGCTGAGCTGAACAAAGGGGCCAAAGTAAGCGACAGAAAAGACACAGGCAATCAGAAGACCCAGCTGTGATAAACTGCCACCAGAGCTGTGCGGGTTACAGAACTGGGGGTGCTACAGCAAGAGCAAACACAAACATGGCTGTTCAAAGTTTAGATCAGTGGTTCCTAATCTCTTTTGCTACTGATCCCCAAATGCACGTGACCGGCTTGTCAGACAGCGCAGGCAGGCCAAGCAGGTTTAAGTATTCAGCAAGAAAAAAGGCAAGTATTAGAGAAAGGTCAGATTCATCTGTGGGTGTCCTGAGCCCCAGAACAGGAATCGCTAATTTAGGTTGTCCAATCACGATTCATGACTTTTGGTGTCCTTTAAACAAAAAGCACAGTTCAGTAATCATTTGCTGCCCTCTGTTTTAAACTCTGTGCCAATTTCACAGGCAGTGGGCATAGGGTTTTAGACACAGACAAAAACAAACAAAGAGCAAACAAGTTAAATCAGACACCTCTCTGTGATAAAATATCAGACCTATTTGCCGACTCGGTTTGAAACCACTTCTCTCAGCGAGTGTCTTTTGCTTTCCCCTCCAGCCTCCTTCACACAGACGCACAAAAGCAAACATTTGGAAGGAGTTTCTGTTGAGCAGGGCCAGAGGAGCCGAGGAGGGGGTGGCTGAAGAAGAATGAAGCCAGGTGGCAGAGGACTGCTTCTCAGCACACTGTGCTCGTCTGCCTGCCGGGCGCACCATCCAGGACTTGGCTAAATATTCTTTATGTGCACAACCTGGAAACCAGCTGCAGTAGCAGCACTTTGCCAGCAACATATATACTGATGCACTGAGATGTTCTGCCTTCAATGTAAACACAACCTGGGATTCCTCACTTCACTGTGGAATTGCACTTGTAGTGAGAGCGGTGTGGGCACCCGGCACAAGTCCAAAGCTAAATATTAAGGGCAAACCACAAGAAGGTACAGGTTGATAAACAGGGGTACACTGCTTTAGACATCGCCTTAATCTTTCGATTTCATGACAATCAAATTCAAAAAGCTTCCCATTAGTTGCTTTTGCTGCCATTTATTTCATGCTGCCTGTATTCTGCTGCTGTCTTGTGTAAGTATATATATATTAATACACTTAAATGCTCAACTTCTACTTTTATCTCAAATTCAGAAGCTCATTTCCTGCTACTATTCAACACTGAAACTATGTGAATGATTTTAACTTGATATTAATACACTTAAATGCTCAACTTCAAATTCAGAAGCTCATTTTCTGCTACCTTTCAACACTGAAACTACAGTATGTGAATGATTTTAACTTAGATTCTTCTTTTAATTGTCAATTAAAATACCTGCTTTTTGTGTGAACAGTGGAGAAACAGTTGAAAATCATTCTGGAGAAACGGGAACCTACAAATGTACAAAAGTTACCCATTTTAATTTTATTTCATTTACATCTGATCTTGTTCACCAAAAAACAGGACTTGAAAGAACCCTGTGAAGTAAATAACACATTCAGAATATTCAGCGCAAATTGTCAGTGTCTGTGGATGTTTTACAGCACGTTTAAAGCCTTACGTTCAGACAGACACACACTTACAGCTGGCAGAGTTCTGAGCTGCACTATTAAGATTCCAACATGTACATTTACTGTAGCTGAGAAATTTTTAATTAGAAAGAAACTGCTACAGTGGCATCTTAGCCTGCTTTTGGACCACCTTTATCTCTCCCTTGGTCAGAAAACTGATCGAGCTCCACAAAACTGTATGAGTCTTAATTGAAAGTAGACTTTACTGCACTTGATTCTGGGGAGCTGATGATTCAGTCTCTTGTTCGTGTTTGTCGCCTTGCAGGGATGGAAATAATCAAAGTCATTCATCAGAGTGCAGAGAGAAAACCTGGACATTCTCTGCATCAGCAGTCAAATTTCACTCTTGTAAAAACTCCAAACACTACCATTCACTGTGCACCAAGGAACATCTACAAGGGACCTAATTTTCTCTAATACGTGCATTTAGATGCATGCATTAGAGTGCAACATTTAAGAGTACCTGTGTGTGTGTGTAGAGTTGGATACACCCACACTACACACTTTCACACACACAACTTAACAACAATTTAATAATCCCTTTGCCTCCTTTGTTAATGTCTGTTGTCTCATCTTCTATGTTATGTCCTTTGTCCTGTAAATGTGTTATTTTGTGTTGAGGTAAAATAAATGAAGAGTCCCTCTGGTCATCTACAGAATAAATGCATTTATCCTGAGCATAAAGAGATCTGATGTTTCACCTCCCTGTGCCTGTGTTGGTGCTGGTCTTCAACCAGGATAAGGTATTTATAAGCCATGGTATCTAGCATGGACTTTCTCCCTTCATGTACTATGACTTCCTGCTCCAAGCGCCAAATACACAAATAGATACTTTATTGAAAACCTTGTGTGTGTTTGGTTGTGTGAATGAGAACAGGCTAGTGTACCATGTCAAATGACAATGTCAAAGAAGTTAAGTCACTGCAGTCCTGCAACACTGAGCAGCATGATCAAAAATAAATGGCATCCTGCCCCAGTTCCTCTGACACAACAGACAGATGCACTTTACCTCCCTTTTTGCTAGTTATCAGGCCATTCAATGGTCAGTTATCCCTTGTTATCTGACCATAGTAATGCTTCAGCAGGTCCCTACTCCACCTGCTACGAGGTTCAGTACAGTAGGTTGTTATCATGCCTTTGCTGTCATGGTTATAATAATAATAATAATAAACATGGAGCGTTTCTGCTCGATAAACCTTTACAAACTATGTGGTTGTGGTTAGAAAAACCTGTTTTTTTTTAGAAGGAAAGGCCTGTTTTCTGACCCATCAATGTCTATATTACATCACCTCATCTCTTACTTTGCTGGTTTCTTATTTACTACAGCCACTAGAAACCACCTAATTTCCACACCTGTTGATACCCTTGCTGCCCAGGGCCTGCATTTCCTGAAGGTATATAATAGAGCTCATCCACATTAAATAGGTTACATTTAAAAATTATTCTTTTCTCTCCAGTTTGACCTTCAGTCCTCACTAGTTTTCTCACCCCAAAAATGAGCTTTTCCAAAATGGTCTCCACAGGGGATAAATCTAAAAACTAAAAACGAAAGTATGTTCATATAAACAACATCATTTTGAATTCGGAAAAAAATAATGTGAAGAAGGCAGAGAGCAGGAGGGGGCTTAACTGAGGTTTAATGAGCTGAAACTCAGCAGAATAACTGGGCGAAGGCTGAGAAAAATAGAAACCAAAACATTTACAATTTGATGGCAACTGAAGGCGATCGTGTGATATGATCAACAGTCTCAACACTGCCAGTAAATAAACCTTGGGGTGAGATTATCTTGTCAAAAGTTGCAGTCTTTTTGTTGGGAAGCTCAGCCATGTAGAAACATTGCCAGTAATGCAAGTTAGAGATAGGCTATTATTCTGGGGAGGATTTAAAGAGGTCAAATTTATAGTTACTGAAAGAAAATATCAGTGAAAGTACACAGACGTTTACTCTCGACACCTCTATGATGATGTCTGTATTATATCAACACATAAAGCTGGAATAAGTCACACCACTAATGCATCTCTGGTCACATTACACTTCCGGGTTGCAAGGGAGAGCAGACGTTTACTGCTCCTGTCTGTTCTACGATTTTTCACATCTTCTACATTTTCAAGTCTTTGAACAAATTCTACAACTATTAAAATGCCTCCAAGAGGGAAAAGAGCTAATAAATCAGTAGCAAACGAGGATGTTGTAGCAGAAGAGGATTATATTTCAGCGGCGCAAGTAACAGAGATGTTGAGTCAGCAGAAGCAGATGTACACCGCACTGTTGAGCCAACAACAAGACAACTTCAAAGGTTTTGTGCAACTACTTATGGAGACAAATAACAAGAGACTCGACGACATGACCAGAGAAATACAGGAGATAAAAACGAGTTTGCAGTTTACCCAGCTCACTTGCTTAAAATCCTCTTTTTCATCATCATAATTCATCCATCCTATTTCAATTTTTCTGTTTTTCTTCATAACACTCTGTCTTTGAGGTGGTTGGGAATGGTCCCCTTCCTGTGTGCTGCTGCCTCCTTCATCGCAATGTTTTCTTTTGGATAATTTTGTTTTCAGGCGCTGCAAAAGCTTTGATTTCCGAGTGTTCGAGTGTTGTGGCCGCTTTCTTTCCTCCTACAAAATCGTAACGCTGCAATGCGGTCACCATATGATGGCAAGTAGGTTTTTAATTCTTCATCTGTCATCAGCAGTATGGTGCTGGCATCAATCTAAACATGGACAATGAAACAGTTTGAAAAAGGTCTCCACTATGTAATTAAGATGTTTGAAATATTTTTCATTTGCATTTAAATACCTTCTCATGTTCCAGGGTCTCTATGGTTTCCTCAGGAACATTTCTCTGTCTCAAGAAGTCACTTAGGTCATCCATGCTGTGAGCATGCATTATAAGGAAACTTGTCATGGTCTATCATCCATTCTAGGAAGACAGGAAGGTTGCCTCCCAATATTCTGCACACAGGGTTCATCTCTGACCATACTAGGCCTTAACTAGGATTCTAAGTATTAATTATATAACCACTTACATGAGCCCGTTGTCCACCTCACATGAACTTAATAAACCCATAATCACTCAGCTCTCCCTTACACGAGCTAGTACCAAATAAGGTCTATATTGAGCTACATACTGCTCCATTACATATTTCCTCTGGAATAGGGTTTATTTTTTTTCACCACTACAGAAACCCTTTAAAATTATCGCAAGGAGCCTCTGCTCTTTAAAGTACATGACTATAAGGAAACAATTACACATCAGTACAATAAAGAAGTTACCTGGAAAATGTGTGCTGGTCGACATAATGCAATTTTATATAACGTTAATACATTCACCGATAAATGTGGCTGATAAATGTACCCCACTCCACATGTAAACGGGTCTGAGCCACATCTAAAGCCCTACTGTTACTGTTACACACTAGGTCTATTTTGCAGACCAGCATCTGCTGCGTTAGCAACTAGCGTTAATTGAACACAATTACACTGCATTTGTATACGTCGGCACAATACCTTCATGTTGCTCTCATGTAGCCGGGCATGAGAGGGCTGTTGTCCATTTTGAGTGAATTCCAATGGCTGTTTGTTATCCAGTGCACGCTACGCTACGGTAAAGGGTGCTGCAGCTCTCTGTCTCCACGCCAAAAACAACTAAACAGGAAGAAGAATAACTACTTCCGGTAGACAGGCCTACGTCAAGATACTTTGAGCTATGTAGGAATTTCGACATAGATAAGTCGGAATTTCGATTTAGCTATCTAGTTATTCCGACTTAGCTAAGTTGAAATTCTGACATAGCTAAATTGGAATTTCTACTTAGATTCACTTAAGTCATTATTTCTACTTAGCTAAGTCGGAATTTCGACTTAGCTATGTCAGAATTTCGACTTAGCTAAGTCGGAGTAACTGGCGGGAATGGGCTTCCATAGAAAACAGTCAAAGTCAGCTTTGCAAGTTTTCTTTAGATACCCTGATAACTGTCTCCTGATGAAGAACACTGAGGTTTCCTACAAAATCTAACTGGTGGTTCCTTTGCCCCAGAACTATTTTACCACCCAACTCCAAAAAGGTTTCTTTAAAAGGAAACGAGGTGTGTGTTTAAAGGGTCAGGGCTGCTCTTCACACCCGTCTCTCCCAGTAAGAGCCCCAGTCTGTGCTGGTTAAACCAGTCTAGTATAAACTGTTCTCAGAGAGCCATGTTAACACTAAAATGCCTCTCAGACATTTATAAAAAAATACCAGCACAGAGTTTAGCGCTTGACTCCTACATAAATGTCAACCAGATTTGTGCACCCTTTTTTAGGATGTTACTGTAGATTCAGTCATTAATATTATAATTTTTAATAAACATTTTGGTGCTAGTGAAGGAAAACAGGAGAATGAGAATCAAGGCTACATAATAATGCTGACAGGTATCCTATCATGGTCACTGCCCCTTCATCATCCCAACTCAGCCTCACAAAGGCTTCAAGTCTTCACCCTTTGTAAACAAATTTGTATTTTCTGGCTCCTTTTTTTCCTCACAGTTCAGCAAAAACACATCATACAGGTCTAAACTCCTATTTAGAGACTTGCTCCATCCCAGTTCTGCATGGTCTGAAGAAACACACAACTCCTGGGAGACGATGAAGCCTATAGTCATTTGTGATCATCAGATCAAGTCTTTTTCATTTTTTCATCCATGTTACAATTTTCTGCCGTATATGAGCATTTAAGCCTCACAGAGCCTACTCCCAGTGTGGTCAGTGTTAGGACACTGCTGCCACCTGTGACTTGACTTTTTTCTGCATTACAGGAGGCGAGTTTGGATCTGTGGATGCATGCCCTTGTTTCAATCACAATTTGTGTGTGTGGCCTGACTGCTGGCTACAGGTGTGCAGCCTTCAGAACGATATTCACACACTCTTCAGTGTCTTTGATGTAGAGCAGCTGAGCAACACGCTGTAGGATTACTGTGATATTTCATTTGCCCGGAGGACTCTCATTTCTCAACACACACACAGTTAAATCCATTTCTGATGTTACAGACATCTGGGACATGTAGTCAGATTTAGTAACATGGGAATGCAGCTGCTAGCTTTTACATGATTTTATTGATTTTGATTCCATTTCTAACCCTGCTTTTGATTATCCATCCATTATCTATACTGCTCATCCTGGCGAGGGC